CTGCATCTGCGTCACATAGACCGGCTTGTTGATGAGTATCCACGTGGACGTCTCGTAGCAGGGCGGGATGGTGATGGAGCCCTCGTACGTGATGTAGCGCGTGGTGTCGGGGTACAGGTCAGCCATGTTCAGGCCCATTAATAGGAAGGCATCATCTAAAGGAACAATGAGAAGTGAGGCAGAGTGCTGAGGTCACAGCCGTTAACAGGAAGCTCCGGAGAGACGTGTGAGGTGAAGACAGCTGTGTGTCTTCTTTCATTATTCATGCTGTGAGGATGTGAATCTGCACATGCTCTCATGGTTGGCATCTGCATTAGAAGGAAAAAAGGAAGTGATTCCAAGCTGCTGTGCTGGATGATTCCCCAGTAGACTTCCCTCTGACAAGTCCAAAAATGGACTTGTTAGGACTTTAGGTCCACTTTGGGACAAGGTAAAAGGCCGTTTGAGGTTATGCTTTAGTGAGTGGTGATAGACGTGGACGTGTTTATTGTGCCTCTGACCCTTAAAGAGCTGCGAGGATGAAGACAGAGACACGGATTAAATCCCAGATTGGCTCTGGTAAAAAAGCGCGAGCTCTTGTGTTAATCAGGAACAACGTCTCCTCCCACATCAGCTTTACGCTGACTCATTCCTAATTTAGGGACACAAACTAAACTAGGACCGCTGACTCACAGTCAGACGATGCATCAGATGCTACAGCCATACGAGTTGTAGGTTTTTAAACCTTCTTTGTGGTAGAATGCATCGTAAGACAGGAACCTGTCTCACCGTCTCACCTGGCTGCTGCGCTCGGCTCTCCAGTCAGCTTCAGCATCAATTTCCTATTTTCACTTAAACACCACAAATGTAACATGAAACAGAGATTTTTTTAAATTAACTGCTTTTTAAGAGCATAAAAAGAAAACAGGTTGTTTTTCATATTTTCCCTTTTAGCCTCGAACCGGATCTGCAGCTCCTCTGACTCCCGACCGCTCCATCCTCCGGTTGAGGATTCCTACTCCAGCCTAGCTGGGAAGGAGCCTCGCTCACGTCATAGATGTTATCTGGACTTTTCCCTGTCTGTTACACCCATGGAGACATAACAAACAGACAGATGAGGGTCCTTAACGTTCCTTTGCTGATGTCATCCTTCAGCACGTTCTCTTTGAGCTGCAGAACTCACATTTTCCCTTTAAAGGCCACGCTCCAGATTACTGGTATCAGACTTTCTAATTGTAGCTGCTTTGGCTTCGCCATTACTGGATAATTACTGTGTTACTATAATAATAATAAGCTCCACACATGCAGTGTGTCCTCAGCTCCCACAGGCTGTTGCATGGACCCCTAATGATGGCTCGTGGACCCCCTGGGGACCAGGGACTCCACATTCGGGACCGCTGCTTTAAACTTTCCCGTTAAAGGAAAAACTTTTTTCCCGCGTGTGTTTCAACGTGGAACACCTTGCCTTGTAGGAACAAATTCACCTGGAAATAATATGCAGAACACGCCCTTCTCATCAGTAATTACTGTAGTGGGTTTTCATGGGGCTGCGCAGTGGCAGTAAGAAGGTCCTGGGTTCGATTCCCGACCTGGAGTTTGCATGTTCTCCCTGTGCATGCGTGGTTCTCTCCGGGTACTCCGGCTTCCTCCCACAGTCCAAAAACACGACTGTTAGGTTGATTGGTCTGTCTAAATTGTCCTTAGGTGTGTGTGTGTGTGTGTGTGTGTGTGTGTGTGTGTGTGTGTGTGTGTGTGTGTGATTGTTTGTTCTGTGTGTCTCCGTGTTGCCCTGCGATGGACTGGCTCTCTGTCCAGAGTGTACCCCGCCTGATTGCCCATTGGCCGCTGGAGATAGGCACCAGCCCTCACACGACCCTACGTGGACTAAGAGGGTTCAGAAGATGGATGGATGGATGTTTTTTCATGTGTGTGTGTGTAAGAGAGAGAGAGAGAGAGAGAGAGAGAGAGGGTCTTACGTTTGTAGTTAATTCTGGTGATGGTGTCTCTGTTGAGCATGCGGTTGAGGAACGTGTTGGAGTTCTCAGAGAGCTGGAAGACGACACCACAGAACATCAAGTATTAATGACGAAACACACACACACACACACACACACACACCTAGATGAGCTGTTTTACAGGCTGTCTGCTGAAGCAGTAATGGTATCAGCTGAGATGAGTCAGAGAAGCATAAACAAACTGTCTTTTGTTTGTTCTGCTGTTGTGTTACACAGAAAACAAAAACAACCTTGTTGTTTTATTATTCCTCATCCCTCCCAGCTTTCCTGGGTGGGTCGTCTAATAACAGATATTCAGTACAAATGGTTCCTCTGCTGTTAGAAGGACACTCAGACCTTAATGAAGATGGAGACCACGGCGATGCCATGTGGGCTCTTAGCTGCCTCGCTGTAGTTGGTGTATAGATCCTGATTATAATGGATCAACTGGACCTGAAGGAGACACACACACACACACACACACACACACACACACACACACACACACACACACACACACACACACACACACACACACACACACACACACACAGTTCTAAATGGAGAGCAGAGACGTCACAAAACACCTCCCACCTTCATGTTGTTAAAGCTATGTCCTGATGTGAGAGACAGCCCAAATGAGGTGGACATTGTCCCACGGACCTGTCCCTTGCTGGGTCTAGTTACTAGCAGACAGGGCCAGGGTTGGGATTGGGGTTAGGGTTAGCTGCAGAGCTTTACTAGACTTGGTTTCAAACCATTCCATGAAAATGCTTCATCCTAATGATGACATGATTCCTTCATATCTTCAGGGTCTCCCTCCTTGATGAGTGGTCCGTTGGGCTCCATCTTCCCTGCAGACAGCTGTTGGGTGGGTTTTCCATAACCAGCTCAGTCCTGCAGCTCTCCCTTTAGTTCCTGTTCTGTGAAGCTCCCTGACCAGCCAGCACTTTGTCTCTGGGACTCAGATGAAGTCAGCAGGATACAGTCAGGGAGAAGTCTAGGAAACTGATGCTCAGTCCACTTCAGTCAAGCTAAATCAGGTGGCAAAAAATCCAGAGCTGCATTTGTGGTCTGATCATCACATCTGGACATTTTCACAATTAAAGTAGTTTAACTTCACGGATGTTTAATTCTTGAATTTACAGGTAAAATTCTAAGCCCCGCCCCTTCGTGTAAACGAAACAGACAGCATCCGGACTCGTGACTAAAACTCCAGCTTAGGTGGCCCTCTTCTCCTGTGTGAAGGTGCAGCAGCATCATGTCAGGTCCTGTGTGTGGGGAAAAGCAGCACATCTGCAGTGGCCCAGAGTAGGTCCAGATATCCAGATATCCAGATATCCAGCCCACTGATTTAATCTGATCCTGGTGTTGTAATAGTTCTGTTCTGACAACATTATGTTGCTTTCTTCTGTCAGATTACTTTTGTTAAAAAAAAAAACCCCAGACAAAACGAGAATGAAAGAGATGTTTCAAAGTTGGAGAGCAGAGAAAACCATCGGCTCTTCCAGGTGTCCGTCTGGGCGGCGCTTCTCCGTATTAAAGGAATATTGGCTGGTTGAGCTTAAATGAAAAACCTCTCAGGTACACTCCAGCGAGCCTCCGACAGCACAGAGACAAGCAACATTAATTTCTCCAGTCCTGGCCAAGTTTGAGTTCCCAGCAAGATGGATTACAGGACTGGAAATGAGTCTGTAATCCATCATCACCGGGACTAAACTTCCCAAAGAGCAGGAAAAGTTCACTCCAAAATAAGAAGGAGTTGATAATAGTTTTCCTTCTGGAAAGAGCGACATTGACAGCTGATACACACCTGTGTGTGTTCCCTGTACTCATTAAAGCTTCAGGTCTCACCTCTCCAGGAAAGCCCTGCCCATTCAGAAGGTGCTCGGATCCCAGAGAGTCTTCACTTCCAAAGTGAAGACGGATCTCCTCCAGCCTGTAGCTGTAGCCCAGCGGGCCTCCAGAGATGTTCACCAGGTGGGTTTTGTCCGGCCGCAGCGACACATGCTTCCCTGTGTTGTACATGGTGCCGCCCATCTGTATGAATCAGAGACACCACAAAGTACTCAGAGCCTTGGGTTTCCGGATGTCCCAGATCACAGCAACACGAGAGAGAACGCATAACACCAGCAAAAGGAAGACAAGTTTCCACCAGAGCTTGAAAATAAAGAAATATGAAGATGATAGTGTGATGAAACATGAGAGCGTCAGTGGTATGGTGAGGAACGCAAGGTTGAACCAACTGGTCATCCAACACATTCTCACACCCAAAGCATCAATATATGACGCGTGTGACCAAGCCTCATTATATGACGATTCAGGACGCCCCAGCGCGTCAGGAGACGACGATCAGGGACACGCAGGAACACGTGGCTCCGCTGGCGTCAGTATCTGACACCCGCGGTCACACGGACATTATTTGACTCTTTAACCTTCCCCTCACCCCAATCCTAACCTTAAGGTCAGTAACTGTGACCTTAAGGTTAGGATTGGGGTGAGGGGAAGGTTAAGTAGTTCACAAGTCGTTCTAATGTCCGTCTCACCACCGGCGTCGGATACCGACGCTCTGGGACGGTGCGTCATCACTGTGTCCCTGATCGTCGTCTCCTGATGCGCTGGGGCGTCCCGTCATATAATGAGGCTTGGTCACACGCGTCATATTTTGACGCTTTGGGTGTGAGAATGTGTTGGATCATCACCAGCTACTCCACAGAACAACCCACTGCTACAGAGCATACAGACGTGTGTTTACCATAGACATAGATATTATTGGATGGAGCAACGCCCTTTTCTCTCATATTCATAAATGTTGGAAAATGGGAGGTTCCCACCAATGGCGCCCCCAAGAGGTGGCCAGGGAAATCTGTTAAATTCAGAATAGATTTTAAGATCCTCCTTCTCACATATGAAGCTTTTAATAATTAAGCTCCATCATACATCAGTGATCTGATTGTTCCATACGTTCCTAACCGAGCACTTCGCTCTCAGACTGCAGGTCTACTGGTGGTTCCCAGAATATCTAAACTTAGGATGGGAGGCAGATCTTTTAGCTATCAGGCTCCTCTCCTGTGGAACCAGCTCCCAGCTTTAGTCCGTGAGGCAGACACCTTGTCTACATTTAAGACAAGGCTAAAACATTTTTATTTGATAGGGCCTATGGTTAAAATCTGATGTTAGCCTAAATCTGGACAAGTGGGGGAGTAGAGGGAGGTGGAGTGTACAGTCGGTAAAGACGGCTCTCCCTTGCCCTGCCTCCAACATGCCTCCATCTAAATAGGATAGATTATCCAGAGTTATCTCTGTAGTTATGCTGCTATAGGCTTAGACTGCTGGAGGATACACTGACCACTTTTCACACTCTACTGCTTTTTTCTACAGTCTGCTCTTTAACTGTATTATTTCCTGCTATTTCAGCTGTTAACTTTATTTTCTCTCTAAGTGTTTTTCTCCCCAGAAGAAGCTACAACGATGTTCTGCTGAGCTGTGGTGGCCTCATGGAGGGGGCCATCGTCTAGCACACTGCTGCTAATCACTTAAATATTCTCCCTCTCCTGATAATAACTTTTTACTCTCTTGGACATCGAATGTGCTAATACTAGTTTACCCGTTTAATTATAGATTCACTAGGATAAATACAATAAAGTTTATCTCTCACCAAATAGAATATTTACTAAGAAATCACAATGTAACCACAGAAACACTACTTGGTGTGTGTGTGTGTGTGTGTGTGTGTGTGTGTGTGTGTGTGTGTGTGTGTGTGTGTGTGTGTGTGTGTGTGTGTGTGTGTGTGTGTGTGCGCTCTGTCTTCTCCATCCCCAGTGAGTCATGGAGGATGGCTGCTTATACTGAGCCAGGATCCTCTGGAGGTTTCTTCCTGTTAAAAGGGAGTTTTCCTCTCCACTGTCGCTGCATGTTTGCTTAGTATGAGGATTGCTGTAAAGACTCTGACACCAGTCAGTGACTTGATGCAACCTGCTGGGTTACTTATATAGGAAACTTTTTACTGATTGGCTTAATGAACTGACCTGTATGGGAATGTTTACTGTGTGAGGGTCCTTGAGACGACGCTTGTCGTGATTTGGCGCTTTATAAATAAAATTGAATTGAATTGAAATTCTGTCCCCCCGTCACACGTCTTGTCACGCCGAGACATTCCAAAATAGAGAAAAAAAGTGGAGCTGAAGGTGGCGGCGGGCCGGTAAGGGTGACAGGATCGCTAAGCCACCAGAGGAGTTTAAGGAGAAGATTGGGGATGTGGTGGATTCTTCTGTCCTGCCTGGTGGGGTGTCGTACTGGGGCACAGCGGGATGAAGCTTAAGCAGTTTGTGGATGTGGAGGTCGACGTGATTGTGCCGTGTCTTGAAACTGGTGTTAAGGGGTGGGGTATGGCATTCCGAATGACATCTCTGAGTCGGCGGTACTTCGTTGTCTGAAAGGGGGTACTGTTCCTGCTGTGCGGGGACTGGGCTACAACGCCCGAGGCTCTACGCCCTTGTTGCTGACTTTTAGCGGTGCTGAGTTACCTGGTCGTGTTATGCCGAGCTTTGTCAGCTTTTCTGTCAGGGCTTCTAAGAGGGCGCCGCTGAGGTGTTTTCGGTGCCAGAAGTATGGTCAAGTGGCGGAAGTTTGCGTGGAGGGTAGGAGGTGTAGAAGATGTGGGGGCGACCATGACTGTCTCCAGTGTGAGGAGGCACTCTGTTGTTCCAATTGCAGGGCCAGTCACCAGGCCACATTTAGGGGTTGTGCCTTCTATCGTGAGGCGGTGGCTGTTGAGGCCTATCGGCCGGATCGTAAGGTTTCGTCTGCTGAGGCGGTACGTTGAGGGGTGGGGGCTTGGGAAGCGGGTGGGATGGTTCCGTTGGTTGGGCACTGCTCAGTTCTGGTGCCAGCCCCCTAGCGGCTGAGTGTGGAACTGCAAATTTTGGGAATTCCATGTTGGGAGCAGTTGTAGTTCAGGGGGTGCTCCCTTGGGGTTAACACAGAGGAAAGACACCAGTCTCCATTAGAAAATAACGTTTTTACTAGCATTCATTTTATCGTTCTTCCGGGTACCCGTGGTCCGGAAGCAGATGGGGGTGAGACTCCTTACTGACCTGGGAGGGGTCAAAGGTCCTTTCCAAACCATCGGGATTTCACAACTTCACAGAGAAGCATTACTCACAGCTGGAATGTGTGATTATAAAGTCAGCCGATCATTCGCAGTGATGAGCTCAACTGGTGATCAGCCAGTAGGAAATGCATTAGTTTGTCATGATTCCCAGGCTGACACCCTCCTCTGCCTCTGCTGCCTCCTCAATCAAGCCCTCAGCTACTTAGTTACCATCACCTGCACCGTCATCAACGCAATCACCTCACCCTGCTCACCTGGTTCCACTGCCAGCCACCAGTCCCCTGCCAGATTATTGAGCGCTCTTTGTCAGTAGATCGTCCAGCCTTTCACCTTGCCTGATCACAGCCTCCGGACCTCGTTTTCACGCCTGACCCCTGCCTAGGACTCTGCCTGCCATCACGACCCTCGCCTGTCTTTGACCTCTTCTCTAGCCTGCACCGTTTACCTGCTTCGCCTCGTTCTGGTTTTTGACCCACGCCTCCTCTCCGACTCGGTCTCCAGCCTCGCCCTCCTCGGGGAACGTCACGTCTAATAAAGACTTTTAAAGGTGCTTTACTGTGTTTGGTGTCATCACGGGTCCTCCAAGTTCTGGTCGTGACGTAATTAGTATTTTTTCCCAGTCTGTGAGCTCACCATTACTAATGGATCTTTCATATGGGACTTCTTAACTCCAGAATCCTAAATTTGAAGCTCATCAGACAACTTCTAGATTTCTGACATAAATCTAAACAACAGGTGGTGTCCTGATGACGACCACCAGCCTACAGCTGATGTTCATGTCAATGTCGGAGGAGTTAGAGGACGTCTGAATGTGTACAGCTGGTTTGGAGCCATCAGAGATGGTTCACAAACCAAATCATCATACTTCTTCTGTCCCTAAGTAAACATCAAACACAACGAGACGCCAACCAGTCACAGCCATACAGCCAGCGCTGATACAGGTGAGGGTAGCTAGGTGGGGCTCATGCGTGGTGTGAGCTATGCACTCGTGAAGTCGCCTTTCGTCTGCGTGTGGATGCAGATCATGTTTATTCACAGCTTACAGCATCCTATAACACATTCATTCATTCATTCATTCATTCATTCATGCTGCCAGAGAGGAGAGCGCTGGAGCCAAGAGCACCAGGTGTGCCGTTTGTTTGTTCTGAGCGAGCAGCCAGCTTCACCTCGCGGCTGCATCGGCGCCGCTCCCCTCGGCGGCTGCTGCTCATCAAAAATCATCACTTTATTTCATCTGGTTGATTTAATTAGTGATAGATTTATTGAGTTTTTTAAAATTAAGAATCTGTGAAGCAGAACATAAAAGATCAGACACAACGGGGCCCCCCAGCTCCCGCAGGGAATTTGACATCTAAACTAAAGAGAAACAGTGGAGTGAGATGGAAAAGTGCTTTCTAAATGGGCCGAGCCTGTAAAGCACCGCCGTCAAAACACAATTAGTTACAACGAAACCAAACAAGGTTCCTTAAAAACGATCGCAGAGAAAACGCTGTCCTGTATCAGAGGATTATTCCTCACATCCCAGCCGCTCGAGCTACACCACAGCAAGATTACAGAGAAAGCAGGAAATGCAGATCATGTGAACTTTTTAATTCCTTCATTTAATCCAGTTGTGACACAGTTTTATAAAGGTCTAAGTTAATCACACCGCCATAATCCTCTGAGTACTTGGGGTAACGTGCGTTCCTGAACTTCTGTTAGAAACACAACCGATAAAAGAGCTGCAGCCTCACAAACAGCCATCTTCTGTGCTCCGCATCCTAGCCTAACCCAAGCTAACCTAGCCTAAGCTTAAACAAACCCAAGCTGACCTGTGTGTGTGTGTGTTTGCATGTGTGTGTGTGTGTGTTTGCATGTGTGTGTGTGTGTTTGTGTTTGCATGTGTGTGTGCATGTGTGTGCGTGTGTGCATGCGTGTGTGTACGTGC